GCTAATTCGACTAATCAAAATGAAACAAAGCAGTACAGTATAAAAAAGCTGATTCACAGTAGCAGCTTAAAAATAGGTGCGTATAGTGGGAGGGGGGGAGAACGGGGTACTCCCCCAGGCCAGGAGGTTTTAATGCTTGCCAAATATTTTCTCCGCCTGCATTTCCGTTCTTGCTCTGTAGTAGTAGTTGGGTAGATCGCCCTCCGCACGTTCTCGTCTTCTGTGAACTTCTCGCGTTCGCCTAACTGGATGGTGTGTTTGTGAATGTGGGGGCTTTTCAGTTAGCACAGAGTCGATTGATGGCATGGTGGGCTCGTGGTCGGCCCCAAGTCCCTCCCCCTGCCCCTCTCTCCCTTCAGCTTTCTCCTCCTCCGCCGCCGCTTGTCGATGTCTATGCGTACCTTCGCTTAGACACTTTCTCCTGCGTTCTCTTTTCCGGACAAGACCTCGTGGTGGGGGTTCAGTCTCCCTAGGTTCTACCGTCCGTTCGACGCACGCGGGTGAAAAACCCCGCGGCACGCGTGGCCAAGGTAAGCTGTCTTCAGTATGTTTGTGAGGAACAGCAGGCGGAAGAGGGGGAGGGGGAGAAGTTGGACGCCCGTCGCCAGCATTTCCACTCAAAATGGCCAAAACCCGATTCCATTGGTCGTCTGTCATGTTCTCGAGTTTGGAACGGATCACATCTAGTCCGCGCAGCTCCCTGGAGAAGTCCGCAGTCTCCAGAGTCCGAGTTCTGTACTTTGTTCGTCGACGTCGCACAGTCATGGTGGCATCTCGACTCACCTCCGGATCGCGGCTCTCATCATCCGTCTGCTCCGTCTTCTTCCTGGGTTTCCGCAAGGGTCGAGAACGCCCCGTGATAGAGCAGACCTCGTAATCAGTAGCCTCACAGTTGACGGCCTTGGAATGACGAGGTAACCGCGAGCACGCTTCGGATGGTAGCGGTGGGACCTGGCAACTGCTCTCCGATTTGCCCGTATCGCCATCCAGATGGCGCAGTGTTGAGTGTTTTAGCAGTGGAATACGTGACGAGGCATGCCGTCTCGTCCACTTTGATGCTGCCTTCGAATCTGACATCATTATCGTCATCGTTTTCGTGGTAGTATCCCCCTCTGTTTCCTCCTTTTCAACCGCTCTGTCAACAATCTTCGGTCTTGCCCATGTTATCACGGGGATGCGTGATTTCAGTAACTGTCTGGTTGGCCTGTGACACTTACGATTTTTTCGACTGTCTAAAAGAAAAAACAACGGGATTTTACCGCTGCGACCGGAGAAAAATATCAAAACTACTAACGCTTAAGGTAATGACAGTGTAAGTACCTCATGACATAGTATAGAAATTCCGACATCTTTTCAGGTCAGGGAAAATAATTCAAATTTATTTCAGTCGTGGCTACCGGTGGGCACCTCGTACCTCAGTTGGCTAGAATCTTGGCTATACTAAAGTCTTCCTCTTGTTGGCGTGGGTTCTGATCCCATCGATGCCGCCGCGCTTTTCACGGATCGGTCACATGAACTTTTCAAATC